GCGGGGACGGCACCGATCTCCGCTCAGGAAAGCGGCTGTTCCGGTCCCGTCGGAAGGAGCCCGACGGCGGCTCCATTTCCGAGCGGGAGCCGAGGCCCCGGCGGGCGCCTCAGGGCCGGGTCTCCCGGGGGGGGTCCCCGCCGCCGCCACCGCCGCCACCCGCGGGCGACCCGGCCTTGAGGCACCCGCTCGCCCGCACGGGAAGGGACGGGAAAGGCGGCGGCGGTCAAAGACAAAGCGGATGCCTCAAATTCCTCCCCGCCCCGCCGGTCCGCGGCACCCCCCGCCCTCCGCCCCTTCATCGCCCATCTCTGCCTACCTGGGCAGCAGGAGCGCCAGGCTTCCCTCCCTCCCAGCCCGGGCTTGGGCAGCCGCAGCCCGCGAGGGGCTCCGGAGCTCGGGCGGCGGGTGCGGGCGCTGACAATGAGGGGAGGGACGCGGTACCGGGCGGTGCTTGACGTCAGCGGGAGCGGGGCGGAGGCTGGCGGCCCGGCCCGGCCGCCGAGCAGCTCCGCGGCGTCCGCCCCCGGCCCTGAGGAGGGCGGGGAGGGCCCGGCCGCCATTTTGGGGGGGGTTCGGAGTGCGCTTGGGGCAGGGAGGGGAAACTTTCCGAAAGGCCGCAGGGAGGAGCCGGGCGGGGCTGGGAGTGGCGGTGCGGCGCAGTGCGGGCGCTGCCGTGCCCGGTTGGGCGGTGGGTTCGTGCTCCAGAGCCTGCCGGACAGCCCCTTCTTCTCCGGCCCTGGCCCGGGGCTACCGCTGTCTCGGGGCTTTGGTGTCGGGGCAGCCAGTGCCGGTCCCGGCTCTTTAAAAGCAGGGCAGAGCCCCTTGCCAGGTGGCACAACGAGGTGTCTTCCTCCTCTCCCATCTCACCCCCCCATTTAGTGGCATCTCTTGGAGAGTTGGTCAATCCAGCTGAGGCTGATTCCACCTCTGGTATCTGCAGTCCGGGATGCCGCGATGGGATCAGAGACGAGAGACCTTCCCCAGCACTAACCGGACATGTTGCTCCCGGTGTACCTAAACAGAGCCCCGGGACTGCTGCCCGGGCGGGTGACTCGGTGAAGGACAGCGGGACAGAGCCCGCTGCTCTGTCCGTCACCGCACTGCCCTTGCCCAGCTCAGTCCACTGCAGACATGGTCAGAGGCCGGTGAGCAATTCCAGCCTCCCGGCCAGGCAGCGAGACGTGGCAGGCTTGGAACCTATTGGCCATTGTGGGGACATCTGGGGAAAAAGTGGAGCTGCCTCCTCACCTTATAACATCTATCATTCCATTTGTCCCTTTCTGTACTTTTGTCTGCACTAAATCCCCATCATTAAAGAAAAAAAATTGCTTTCTCTTACAGCAGCCAGAGCTTCCATACTTTTCCTCTACATCATTTCCTTTCCCTGGGCAGACATTTCTAAGTCTCTAGCCTCACACCACTAAGCTTTTTTCTCCGAAATACCAGCCTGGGCAGTGGCATCCCTTGTTGCCACAGACACTGTACCACCAGCTGTACTATTCTGCTTCCCCGTGACACAGAGCAGGCAGGTTGTCCCTCACTTGGATCCAGAGATGTGACATTTATCATTCCCTGGGTTTCCATTCACTCTCTTCCTCACACTGCAGACCCCACCCAGCAGCTGGTTCAGTTGCCACCTTGGTGAGGGGCTGCTTTCTCCTCTTTTGTCAGCTCAGCTCAGTTTGTTTCCCCTCACCTCCCTCCATCACTGAGTGGTCAGGATTTTACCTCGCACCTTGTGCTTTCCCTCCAGCAGCAGCTCACTGTGCCAGTGCTGCTGGGATCTGGTGGCACAGGAGGCTGAGGAGTCTCTCACAGTCCTTAGGGAACATTTGCTCGTTTGCATTTACTGCGTGATGAGGACTCACCAATGCCTGAGGCATGGTTGCAATGCTTATCTCTTGAATTGGAAGGATTGGGTGCTGGGTTTCCAAAACCCAAAGCAGGGTGCCAGCACCACTGGTAGAAAACTTTTTCCCCAGATGTCCCCACAATGGTTGGTAGAAAGGCTGTATAGTTCCAAGGGATGTAAGTGATGTGGGCAGGTGTGACCAGAGATGATGGGCAAGGGGAGATGACAAACACAATAAAATCATGAATGACATGCGGAAGCAGCAGAAGCTGTCGGTGTGTGTGACAACAGAGGATCCATATGGGTGTAGTAGCTTTAAACAAACAAAAGTAACTCATGCATCTTATGAACAGCTTGAGAACGTGAGAAATGGATGGCTCTAGGATGCCATGAACACCAGAGGTATGAGATTCAAAAGGGATTAGCCAAACTTACAGAGAGCAGATTTCTCAGTGGTTATTAAAAATGTCTATCTGAGTCATCTTCCAGTTCATGAAGTCCCTGAACTGACTCTTCAGGTATTGCTATTCTGTACTCCCTCTGCTCCCCATGTTTGTATGGTGAATGTAAGTGTGGTGTCTGAGTTGATCTTGTTGCTGCTGATACATGCAATTGCACATCCCTCCTAAAATTGTGTGTATCGGCTGCTTCTTCTGCACCAATTTTGGGATGTGTTCAGTTTATCAAACTGGCAGACAATTAACTCAGACTGAATACTTCTCTGCCTCTAGCAAATCGAATTAGCCCACTGTTTTCTAAGCCGGTGGTTCTTGCTTCTCTCTGCAAACTAGAAGTAGAGATTCTCCTGTTATTACCTGATTCCCAGTCTTTAGGTTTTAAGTATTTAGAAGATCAGAGTCATGATAAGATCCTGATACTTGTTGAATTAACTTCTAACAGCTCCTGACAGAGCTGGAGCCTTGGTTGTGCTAGATGCCACACAGAGTTTCAGAGCAGTACTAAACACAGCAAGCAGAGAAAAAGAAACAGAATTATGCTTGTGTGGACAGAAGTGCTCCATAGCTTGCTAGTCTCACATCATTATCAGCAGTTTATAGGGAAATGTAAGTTGGGTTTGGAGTTTTGTGTGTATAACTGTTTCTTGTTCCTAGACTCAGCAAGGTGCCACCACAAGCCCCCAGAGAAGTCTGTAACCATGTCAAGGTATGGTAACAAAGACATTGAGAAGCCTGCAGCACATAAGAAATGGGTTGATGTAAGTTTGTACTTCTACTGTCTTCCTCTCAGTCAGAAAGCATAAACACCATCTCCTCAAACTGAGCCTTCACCATATCACCAGATTCAGAAGGAGCCAGAACCTGACACACCTGGAGAACACCAGGATGGGGAGTGGCAATTGCTGGAAATAATAAACAAGATTTACACACACTATGAGTAGGGTTTGTCTGAATACATCAGACATCTCCACTACTGATTCTTCTACAAAAGTCTCATTTCAATCTTGCAACCTAGGTAATATAAATAATGTCAATAAAGTCAGTTGGTTTGAGGGGGTGTTTCACCTCTTCCTGGAGCAGACATCTTGAAAATGTCAGCTGAATTAGGTCTACACACAGGGCCAGAAAGGGTGCATTTAAACCAAGGGGGCTTGCCAAAATAATTACAAGATTAGCATCTTTGAAATTGTGATTGAAAAGTGTTCCTGGTGATTGAAGAAAACAAATGTCATCATACCTGGCATCAAGAATGGCAAGAAGGAGGATTCAGGCAATACTCAGCTGGTTGGTTAGTCTCAACTCAGCCACTGGGAAGACTGGACAGCACATCCTCCTGGAAGCTATTTCCAAACATTTTAAGGACTAAGAAGTGACTGGAAGGAGCCAGCAAGGATTTACCTGACCAACTTGATTACTTTCTACAGAGAGACAGCAGCCTGTGTTGCCCACGGGAAGGTGCTTGGTGCTGTACTGATTGATTGTAGCACTGGCTTTATCAAGGCTTTTGACATGATCCCCACAGAATGCTTGTAGGCAAGTTGGTGAGATTTGGACTTGAGTGTGAAGGGAATGAAAAAGTGGCTTGGTGGCTGAGCTGAAAGGCTCATATCAACCATCTGAAGTCCAATGGGCAACTAGTTCCTAGGGGCATCCATCAGGGATGCATGCTGATGGGTCAGTAGTCTTTAATATCTTTAATAATGACCTGGACAATGAGTTGTCTTGCACACTCAGCAAGTGTGCAAACCAAACACCAAACTGGGGAGAGCAGTTGCAATATGTTGTAAGTCAGAGCTGGAGAAGAGGATCTCCTCCTCAGTAAGAGATCTAGAAACACCACTGCTCTGGAGATGTAACTTGCCACCAGTAGCTGGAGGTTCTGTATATGTGAAAAAGATGACATAGAGGAAATCTGGCAGAAAGGGCTCTTAACTTCTCATTTCCTTCTTTGTTACCAGTAATGATGAAATCTAAATGCAAAATCTGTTACTGACCAGAACTGCATGGAATATGTGAGTAGTCATTGGTGTTCTCAAGTGAATCATCTTGGCTGTATTGAAAAAGAATTCAGGTGGATGAATTTTGCTGGAGCCGTTGGGAATTCCTCGCCTGTGAATGACAAGAGGTACTGAGCACCTGTAGTGAAATTGTCATAAAACAAATTGCATGGGAACCATAGCTACATCTGTCTCTCTGGACATTTGTTCAAGGACTTACAAGGTTTACTGCAGAGGGAGTTGTGAACTCAAAAAAGGAAAGCAGGGAACTGAGTTGTTTCCGTATTAGTTCAGAATTTGAAATTGTCTATCAATCATTAACTGCTGTGGAATAGACAGGAAAATACAAACCATCATATCTTCACAGTACCAAAATCCCTTTTGTATTAGAATATCAGAGTGGTATCATAATTGTAAATTAAAGCATTCTGACACTGTGTTATAAAGCATGTTCTGCAAAAATATTTCCTTCATGTCATAGACTGATTGCATATACAAAACAGGAAGAGGACTTTTGGGCACATTTGTTTGTGAGGATGTGATCAGTTCATCAATAGGGCTTCATATACTTAAGTAGTTTTACATATATAGCATTTGTTCCTTTGTACTCCCCTGACAAGGAGCTGTTTTCAGATTGGTGAGCATGGTAGGATTGCTTCAACCCATGGGTTTTCAATGGCCATCTTTCTCTCACATAGCAAGGTTCAGGTTTGTCCTGGGAGGAGTGATCATGTTCCACTTTCATTGTCCTGCCAGTCTTCAGTCATGCTGACTCCTCATTGCTGAAACTCATCCTCTTCCCTGGTTGTAGGAATAACCTGCACTGGAATTTAATTGCAGGGTGCTGCAGTGAACAGGCATGCTTTGACATATATTTAGCTATTTCTTCTGTTTTCAATAAATTTTACATTATCATTGAAATTATTATCTTCTTGGACATATCAATACTGCTATACAAACATGACATGTTTTAACTTACCTTTGTGCTCAGCATTGCAAGAGCTTCACAGGAGACTCACTGAGATATCACTCAGCCCTCATGTACCTCCTGTGAAATACATTTGTGTGCTCTGGACTGCAATTCACAGAGCATTGTAAAACATGGTAAATATGGACATTGATCTCTGTGGCATGGAAGCCTCCTCCTTTCAATTCAGAGGCTGTGGGTGTTATTTATCTTTAACTTATGATCATCCCTAGCAAGTGTTTTCATCTGCCAGTTCCATAGCACTATTTTTTCCAATATAAATTGCTGAGGCACACTATCAAATATTTACTAACAATAAGAATGTTGTAATATTAGATCAAGTGCCTTTTAAAATTAACTTATAATCTAATCAAAGAAAGGGCTTACTTTGCTTACTTTTGAATTAAACAAGATCAAAGAAGCATGGTGGATCATCTTCCTATGCTGTATTTTGCCATTCTGTTCTTCATTCGAAGTCAGTAGTAGGAAATACAGGAAAAGGACAAAAGGGAATGGACTAGCTCAAAAGGTCCAAAGGCCCTTCCTTCCTGGAATTTTTTGTTTCACATTGAGCAGGAGAATCACCCAGGGATCTTGGAAGTCATCACAATCTGGACCAAGGTGAACATTTCGGACTATCATCATCAGAGGAGGATAAAAAATTGACTGCTGTTATAACAGCACATTGAACAGGACCAGGGACTGGCCTCTGGTGTGGGAGTTCAGTTGTCTGCACTAGTTAATATCCAGTTAATATCTACATTAATATCTACACTATTGATGGTTCAGCTGTGGCCTGTCTCAGCTCACATGTCCCCAGGCAATGCACCAGCACAGCTCAGGGGTGAGCACAGGCAAGAACCTGCACTGACAGTGGCCACTCTGGACACACTTTGGAAGCAGACTGAGTGGACACGGCCATGTCATGGCACCATCAACATCTCTTAAGCTTGACAGAGCTTAAGATGCACTTTTAGGAGGGTAGAGGAGCCATGTACCAAACAGAGCAGCTTCAAATGCCTTCAGTGAGAGAGAGGACTGCTGTTCTCTGGCCACACAACTGCTCTGTCCAGCTCTGCAGCATGTGGGTGCTCCTGGGCCACCATCCCCAGCACAGGCACCAGCAGCAGGGAGAAGCTGCAAAGCTGTGCTGCAAAAGCAAAGGAGAGGCTGAAACCTGGGGTGGACACGTGCACTGTGGGGGAGTGTTTTGGGATGGTCACAGCAGTGGATGGTGGAGATGAATTGGGGCAGGCTGAGAGATGGAAGGGCAGTCAGAAGGATGATGGGGTGATTTTCAAAGCAATGTGTGGCTCTCATATTCGGTATAGACACGACACTTCTAATGTAAAATGCCCACAGACTCAAACGTTGCAGGAAATTTGAGCTGCATTACTTGGTGTGCTGTCTTGTCTGAGACTTCATCCAAGACCTCCATGTGCCACCTTCCCACCTGCCAAATCAGGGACATAATCCCAGAGGTAGAGAAGTGTGTGTGTTAGCAGAGACCCAGCAGAGGGTCCTGACAGTGATTTCTGACCAGAGTTTATTTGACCAGTACTTAAACCAGTACAGAGACAGGGGTGCTACATCCACCCCAACAACTTTCATTACTAAGAAGTTTTTCTTGGTGTGTCACTTCGTTCTCCCCTCTCTAACTTCCCATATCTTGTCACCAGGGAGTGAACCTTCTGGCTATTTTATGAGGTCCTAGTCATTCCACACTGGCACTAACCATATTCTTCTGTTTCAGTTTATGTATGCAAAAAAATTAAATGACAGAAATGTAAGATCGATAATTTTCATGCTATTTATTTTGTAGCATTTCTGCACTGGTTGTTCTATTCATGATAAAATGTGTAATAATTAATTCAAACATATTGTCTCCTTTCTACACTTCACCAAAAGCATAGCTTCAAATGCAGCATTTGTGAAATATCCACATGACAATCTGTGCTATGCTGCTCTGCCCTGCTGCTGAATATAGTCAGGCTGTGTTGTACGTCTTCTGAAAATTTACAGATTTTATCAGCTTCACATGGGTGAGATACATGCCATAGGAAATGTAAGTATTAGATCCTGGTCTCCAGAAACTTTCTCAGCCGACATAAATGGTTAATAATATACAGCAGAAACACTAAAATCTTGTACATACACGCACAATGTCATCCCATCAGGTTAGAAAGTGTGGTAGAATTGGACAATGTGTCACCTCATCACACAAGACAAGCTCCCTGGGTCACACACCTTGCCTTGTTGCAAAGCTTATTTCATGTGTCTTTGATCTTATATACAGCCATGGTCACTGCAGAGACCATGGACAAGTTCTGCTATGCCATGTGCAATCCCAGACAGGAAGTATCAAATTGGCAAGAAATTCCCAGTTACATGCACAGAGCAGGGTAGCAGCAGAGATGGCAATTACCACTCTGTTCCTCAGGAATAAAAGCATGGAAAGTTTCAGGTAGGCTGTGGGAATGCACAAGGGTCGGCTACACAAGAGGAGAGTCTCAAGAGGAACACTTTTGGAAAAGTATTAGTTTTTGGAAAGCCTGTTTAAATTCTTCATTAAAAGCTGTATAAATGACTGGATTGATTAATGAGTTTAGGTAACCCAACCAGGTAAAAAAGTCCAGTAGGATGGGATGAAACCAACAGGCATCTTGGCAGATTGGTAGGACTAAGGATATGACAAAAAAAGGCAGCCAGCAGAAAATGAAAGCTCCCAGAATAATACCTAAAGTTTTGGTCGCTTTCCTTTCTCTCGCAGCAGAAATTCTTTTCCTTTCCAGCGCACTATCTGCAAGTTTTATTTTAACATGACCAATAAATATTGGGGATCCACCTGAATGGGAATGCCCTTCGTGGAGGCTGGCATTAATGGAGCAGAGGGAAGACCCTGCAGAACCAGCAATCAGGTGTGCAGTAGTGAAACGTTTCCCATACAATGGGGGTGGCTTCAGAATCCTGGATCGAGCTGCTGCATAAATTCTACCATACAATATCAGGAGCAGCACGGTTGGGATGTAGAAAGCTCCACAGGTAGAATAAATTGTGTAGGAAATTTGATCAGTGTTGACGGCACATTTTGCAATTTCTTCGGGAGCTTTCACTTGCCTCCAGAAGAAGGGTGGCACAGAGATGCTGACAGATATCATCCAGACCACGGCAATCATGAGGGCTGCCCGGCCGGCAGTGCGGCGTTTGGTGTACTCCAGAGCGTCCGTGATAGCCCAGTACCTGTCCAGGGCAATGACACACAGGTGCAGGATGGAGGCTGTGCAGCACGTGATGTCTGATGACAACCAGATGTCACACAGCAGCTGGCCAAAGGCCCACGTGTGGGTGACAGTGTAGACAATGCTGACAGGCATCACCAGCACGGACACTAAAAGATCAGTCACTGCCAAGGAGCCAATGAGGTAATTTGCAGGTGTGTGGAGCTTTCTAGTCAGAAGAATCGTAATGACAACAAAAACATTTGCAAGGATTGTTGCCAAAGTTATAACAGACAGAAGGATTGACAGTGAAATCTTCAGCCCTAAGAGTGTCCTTTCATCCCAAGGCAGTGGTGTTTCACTGACATTTAATGATTTATTTGCTGAGCTCTGCAGAGAGAACTGTGCTGAATGGTTGTACTGAGTCATCCTCTGCTCTGCTTTCACCTCCCAGTGTAATATTTCTGGGATGATGAAGAAAGATGCTCACTTTTTTTGATAAAATAGAATTTTTCATACTTTGTCCAACACTGAAGAATTATTAACTTGTTGAAAACTTCAGCTGGCGCAGTAGATGAGGTACTCTCCTATGCAATATTTTCCATCACATCACATCAATTACACCATTGTGGAAGCAAAATATCCAAAATATCCTCCAGACATGAGTCTGGTGTACGACAGTGAAAACAATACTATAAATTATTGGAATTTAGGTGGTTTTCATCTTGAAGAAAATGAAATAATTATTTATTATAGTTTTTTCACACCTCCTTTCTGAAGTAATCTTCTGCAAAGTTACATAAATCAATACTGAGGAGTAAGAGATGGAAAAAAGCATGCAGTTGATGCCCCTTTGCTACACTCGAGAGTATTCTCCTTTTCTCTCTAACAGCCTTTTCTCTCATGACAGCTGACTGTCATGGTTTTGCTATTTACAATGGACACTTTATTAGCAGAGTACTTAACATATCAAACAATGATTCTGGATTCCTTCTGTAAACATCATTTTTGCCAGATTTGCAAATGAAGATTTCTTCAAGTGCAGATCTCCATTTCCATTTATTTCTCCAGACTTTTCAGGTTTTCCCTTCAAGAATTAATTTTCAAATGCTGAAGTCAGGTGTTGGGTACCAGAGCCCAATGCACTGGTGCACATTAGTGCACAGTATGCAATCTACAGATTTTCCACACTTTTCCTTGTATTCACCAGGACTGGATCTCCTGAAGTCTTCACAAACCTGAAGGAAACATCCTAAGAGAGATTTCCATCAGGCCTTTCACTCACTTCCACCCATGAGCACCAGAATGTCACTTATATCATGCCAGCCCAACCCTTCTTGAAAGAGATCCTGGATGTGGGTCATGAATGGCTTTGGAGTGTGCTGTGAGGGCTACAAGGTGAACACCAAACTTTTCCAAGGAGACAATCACCAGATAATCACCTTCTCCCAGCCATGGAGGAGAAGAGCCTCTCTCAGTCATCCCTGGTACCAATTCATGCCATCCAACACAGAACGGGTTGGGAATCTGTGGAGCAAGAGGAGTATATATTCTATATGAAACATTAGCACTTTGAAGTCAAATAAACTCCCTTAAGCTCATAAATTCTAATATAAGAGGCAACACTTTTCAGTTTGCAGTGTTTGACTTTTTTACATACAGCCACCTTCTGTGAGTCAAACATTTTCAGCCTTTTCTAATAAGGAGACATAGAAAAATCTCATATTTCACATTAGACTATTTCTTTCTTGATTTTTTTTTCTCTAGGAAGGGAAAATTTTTCATGACCATTTTGTGATACTGACCAAAGGTTCAATTGATAAGAATTTTTGAACATAAAAGTGTTCAAAAGTGACCAAAGTCCATTAGATCCAGTCACCAGTTTCTGGCAATGGTTCATAAATTCAGCTCAAACATTTTGCCATTCTCCGATGCTTTCCCAACACTGAAACATTTTTTTGAGACAGAGACCAGAAAAAAAAATTGTGAATGTGGATACACCATAGATTTATAGTTCACCATAATGGTGGGGTTATTTCCTAATGATTTCTGAAAAGTACTTTGCTTTTTGAATCATTGCATAGCACCGATCTGACATTTCCACAGAGCAGTCCCAACTAATATAATTCCAAATACCTTGAGTGGTGATACCAGCTTTTTTTTTCTTGTCTGCTCAGTTTTTGCATCTGTGAGCATTGTATTCCTTCTCCCACTTTTAAACTAAAGCTCTTTGCAACTCTGCACAGTCAGTCCTTGTCTTTAATACCCTGCAGAGCTTTGTTTCATCATCAGTGCCATCACCACACTACTCATGGACTTCCCACATCACTCTTGAGAGTCTAAGTAATTTTATCAGTTCACTCCATATACTTATCAGCTTAATTAATTAACAGATTGGTGAAGCATATCTTCCTTTACTA